ATGGCTGTGAAGGAGCCTCCTCAGACTCTGGAAGCCACCGCTGACTGCCAGCAGAAACGCAAACTGAGCCTTACAAGCTGATATTAGCATAGAGCTCATCCAGAGCCATATAGGGCAGCCCTCCTCTCCTTTTACAAACCCCACACTCATCCACAAAACCCACACACCCTCCTCTTCCTCGCTGCAGCCGGTGAAGCTGGGCACAGGGGAGGGTGATGCCTCTGGTGCTGATGCGTTTCCAATGCCTTTTATTAAACAATGACGCCACATTGGATACAATTGTGAATGATTGTTAAGACAGACCCAGAGGTGTTTGCAGGCAAGTCTTATTATATTGGTGCAACCCAATTATTTAGTGTATCATTGAAAAGCTTGGTCATTTGAGTGATTCTTTTAATAAGATAATTTAGATAAAATCTGCATAAATAAAAATAGGGATATATTTCAATTTCAGTTAAGGAGTTTTATACAACTGAGCCAAAATTTGCCTTCGCATCTGTTCTTTCTCAGCATAATAGCACAGCCACATGTTGCATGTCATCATGCCACCCTGCACTGATGTAGTAATGCATGCAAAAGGAGTGTTGCAACAGCAAACATTTCAAGTGATATCAGTGGCTGCTAAGCTGGATGAGACATCATGATGCAGGAAGGCAGGCTACTGGGAACACTACACTAAATGGATCACATCACACTGAGTTAAATACTTCAATAATATACATGGTAAGAGCTCCAATCTTTTTATCTTGCTGGTCTGAATCTAAGAAGAACAAATTGTCTTTTTAAGGCTGACAAAATGTCAGACATCAAGTGTCTGTACTGTAAAGCTGCTGTGCTAGTTTCCAGGGCAGCTATCAGGATCTATTTGTTTGAGGCCAATTTTCTGTCACATTCAAAAGCAATCATATAAATCTGTTACTTTTACTACATTAGAACAATTCATTTGTGTTTTCATATATTGATTCATTATATTTTAGACATCAGGGATTCACCTCTACAGACCTTTTCATACTGATTTTCTTGTCTGTTTGGCCACATTTTGAAATTAAAAGTAATATACTTTTTTTTTTCCTTTTTACTTTTTCATTTAAGAACTAATTTCTGTAAATTAAGAAATAGTCCAGTTCTCATTCTAAAAATTATAATCATCAGCTGTGTTTAAATGTATAAAAACGTATCATTAGAACAAATCACCTAACCTTTAAGCAGCCTAAAAGTCTTTATTTGAAAACAAAAATTCTGCTTTTCCTAATAACATTTCACAAACGAATGCACATTAAGTATTATACAAAACAAATAAATACATTTCTGAGTTTATACCTGCAGATAAATTTATTGCTTAATCTTTATTATAGGAGCTGTTTTTTAAGTATCTAAACTATTTAAAGATAAAATATTTCTGTTTAGAGGGGGGGAAAATGGAAAAATAATGTTCAAAAAAAGTCACTCTATTATTGACAGCACAAACATTTTACTTAGTATGTATTTTATTGGAAATGTATAGTATAATAATGGCTGCCATTGCTGCCAGAAATGTATTATGGTGTGTATATAAGATTAAAATGATATCTTTGCAAAATTTACACGTTATTGTTTGTTTATTACTACAGAAATGTGTTACAATGCAGTACTGCATTCCTTTTTATATGAAAATACATAACTGGGGAGGACAAAACCAGGCTCAAATAATTCTTTCTGTCTTTACATGAGTGCTATCTAGTGGTTGTGTGGTGTACTTCAAATAAAGATTAATCTTGTATTCTATGACACTTTTATTTTTTTAAGTGAAAACAGAATTAATTTATATTCTGTAAGCTGAATTTTTCATTTATGCTCCATTAAGGAGAAACAACTATTTATCTAAAGCAACGTAAGGTCAAATCTAACTAAGTCATAGAGGAATTGTGAAAGCTGCTGCTTTGATACTTATAACTGTTCTAGAGGAATAGATAATCTTTTAAAAGTTCCCATTTTAAAGGTATTTGAAGTTCTCCTTGTATCAAACACATGAGTTGTTGTTTGCCTGGTTTAAATGACAATGATCCCATGGCGGCAGGTGGTCTGCGGTCAGATTAGCTTTCTTTGCTGAGCAGCATGGGGCTCATCTGACCTCATAAGAGCCAATGATCAGTAAACTTCAGCCAAGCAGATGTGACTTCACCCCCACTGGTATCGTTTATTTTAATTTTACTATGAGAAAATTTAATTTCTGAAAAATGAGCAAATGACACACTGACCGACTTATAATTAAAGCACTGATTGAAGTCCAGAAGATTACACTGCTTCACTAATTGAAGCAAATCCCCTCCGTCTGTTTCTTTTCTCCACTCTGGGGGATTAGTACCTGCTAACTTTGGAGGATAAACCAATGGGAGATGTATACATTTACATCCTGAGTTGATGATTGGCTAGAAGCTGGAAGTATCCCTGCAGGAGGTAGACACATCCCTCTGCTCACTTGAGCATCACAGCTGGTCTACAGAAAAACAATGAGCTGCCTCTGCGAGTTAGGATGCTGATTTCCTAAAGGTAAGTGAATCTATATGTTAAACCTGTTGTTTTTTTTTCTTGTATATTACAGTCAAAAAGAACCTTTTTTGTTAACTGATTATTCAGAATATCTGCCTTACTATTGTGCAGTATTGAACCCAAAAATCCAAGAGTCCTAATAACTTGCTATTGTAATGTGGTGCTAATGTTTTTTCCCATAAGTTGAAGGTCTTATTCATTGTTTGCTTCCTATATTTTAGTTGACCCATTATAATTTCTGGATTGAATTATAAAATAGCAAACAACTCACATGGTTAAAAAACAAGGACTGCTTGCACCATGATGATTTTATTTAATATAATATACAACCACATAATATTTGGTTAAATGTCTATTTGCTAATTTTACTCCCAAACACAGGCTGATTCTGGCACTACATCAATGCAGTTCCAATACGTAATTTTTTTGTTAGCTTGTTTTATTCATCCCAAAACCAGTTTTAATCATAGTTCTGTTAAGTTTGACCTATTTGACGGATTCTCTCTGATTAAAATAAATAGTTGTGGTTATTTGAAAAAATAACCAGATGGCATCAGTATCAAGATCTGCCATGAAAGGGGAAATGGCTGGTGCACATCAGTGTCAGTGTGCTAAGAAAAAGAAAAGTTACTTCTCCTTTAAATCAGAAAGTTTTTTTTAACAAACAAGCATCCTTAAAAACAGACACCATTGAGCTCTGTTGGACTTTGCAATTGCTCAAATAGACAAATAACCTCTGAAAAAAGTTTAAGGTCTGGAAACACAAATAGAAAGATTTCATAGAGACTTTTCTAGTCATACTTGCACTTCTTCACACTACAGCCACCCTGAACCAGTCACACTCATAAAAACACACATCACTGTAATGGTGTCCTTACAACTTTTCATTTCCGAAAGGATGCCGATATTGCATCTTTAAGAAAAAAGTTTTTTGTTACTTATTTATCTTATTTTATACAGTAGAATGTTAGAAAAGGTTTGATCAATTAATATTACTAAAACAAGGAACAAAAGTCAACAATAAAATGTTTAAAAACAATTATCCCTTGTAAAATTGTGAGTTGCAGAAACTTTTAACAGAAGTAGAGTGTTTCTAGATGCCGGCCGTTAAAATCCAATGTTAGTTTTTTGGCAAATATCAGACAGATATCTGATATTAATATCAGATCAGAACATCACTAACCCACATATCTATACAGTACGGAGTAGTAGGCTTAGGGCTGAATGTCTTAAGCAGGTGCTCATCTACACATTACAGGACCCTATCTATCCATTAATCTTCTAACACTTCTCTGTCAGGGTGACAATCTGCTTTCCAAAGGTGGGGTACACTCTGGACAGCAGCTCGTCCTGGCAGGGTTGCACAAAGACACACAAACATGCAAACACAAGCAAAATTTAGAGTCACCAATCGACCTCAGTGTCTGAGTTTCTACAGAGAACCCATGCATGCACAGGGAGAACATGCAAAGTCTATGTAAAAAGACCCTAGGCTGGGAGTCCAACTTGGGACCTTCTTAAGATAAGATAAGATAAGATAAGATAAGATAAGATAAGATAAGATAAGATAAGATAAGATAAGATAAGATAAGATAAGATAAGATAAACGCCAGAAACTGCTCCACAATAAATCATAACAACTTTCAATTTGCAAAACAAGTACTTCTCTCACTAAACACCATCCACGAAGACCTAGCAATTTGACTGTTGTAATAAAGAATACAGAGGAGACTTACCGACTAAAAAAAGGTGATGGAACCATCATGCTGTGAGGCTATTTTATTGTAAGAGGTAAAGGTGCATTGTGCAAAGTATGTGAGTTAATGACAATGGCAAACAACATCTATATCCTCCAACTTTCTCCCAAACATACATTTTGAGACTTTAAGATGAAGTTTGCACAGTTGGGTGTTCTAACAGGACAGTGATCCCAAGCATGCATCAAAACTGTTTTTGACTAGAAAAGGTAGACCTACATTATGGCTGTGAGAATGTTCTAATAGCTCTGACCTCTGTTTAATTAAAACCTTTATTAATTATAAAAAGCTGGTCGGTAGGCTACATGGAGATTAACTAATTCTACCAACCCAAGGAAATGTAATTCATAGACAATGACTAATAACATAAAGTGCATTAAGTTTTATTTTTTTTTACAGGTCTAACCATCATCACCTGCATAAAACACCATGGAGAGTACATATTCTTCTTTAAGCCTTTATAAACTTCTTAAAGAGAAAATCTGTCAAAGTTCGTCTGTCTCCTGGGGCCCATCTACCCCCTCTGATGCTTATTCATACACCCAACAAACTCCATCCTCTCAGCATGAAGAGGAGGGTCCAGCTGAAGCAACGAAGCATGAGCAAGCAGACAAATTCAGTCTCACAGACCTTAGAGATACTCTTCAAGCTTTGGATGATTCCTCTGAGAACTGCTGGTTAAAGTCTTCCTCAGAGTGTCAGACCTTTATAGAGATGGGAAACCAACAGGCAACAAAGCTGAAACCAAAATATTATATGGAGGGCTGGGATGCCTTACAAATATCACCAGGAGTCTATATTCCTCGAAAGAGGAGGCGGCAGGTGGAGGAGGCGTCCAATAATCTAGGGGGGACACCAGGCTCAGGGCGACGGAGAAAGTGCCAAATAGTGGACCTTCAAGCAACAGATAAAACAAGTCAAAGAGGAACAGGTAGAGAAAGGGAGGAAGCAAGGACTTCATCTGAGCTGTTAAAGCCAGTTTGGAAAGCGAAGCTACCCAGAGATTCTCCTGAAAGTTTACAAAGAACTCTCAGCATAAAAAGCCATTTCTCCTCCTCAAGGAAGATTTTATCTTCCAATGCAAAAAGCTGTCTGACTGAGTCTGACACTGACCTTTCTGAGTACGACAATGGGATGTACTCTGTGTTAAATCTGAACACCGAAACACAGAACAGTGAGATTGCAGGCTGGAAACATGAGAAAGAGAAAACTAAAGAGGCTGACACCAAGCCATGTCAAGATGCTGCAGCACAGAGAGTGATAGGAAAGATCAAGGAGGTGGAGGAGATCTTACGCCAGGTCAGTCTTACCAGCTCAAACTGGATCACAGATGGTCATGAGGAGGATGACAGCTTCATGTTTGCTTCTTCAGAAGTTTTACAGCAAGTTACATGCTGGTTAGAAGATCAAAATAGGGCATCAGCAGAAGAAGCCGGGAAGCTTTGTGCTCATGATAATGCTCAGAGTCTGAACATGACCTGGACAAAGGCAAGAAAATCAGAGGATAAAGATCAGACCAAGATGAAAACGTCTAATTTCCATGACTTCAACTGTCCCCTTACATCGCATATCCATTCCTACAGTGTGTCGGGTAGAGAGGATAGGTCCCTTGCGCCGTCCCCCACCTTTTCGACATCTAGCAGCTTGGAAAGTCTATCCCCCATCCTGTCTTCTCCTCTCACGTCAAGCTTGACCAATATGACAGACTGGCAAAATGCAGACGTATCCAAGAGGAAAAAGGAAATGACCGATTCAGAAAAAGAGCTTTGGGACATCTTGGAGGCTCAAGGCTGTAAAAAGGTCACCACAAACCCTTGGGGGGCTGAAAAGGATTTGGGGCCCGAAGAGGAGAAGTTAATGCGGTCAACTCTACAGCTGAAGGAAGATTATCTGCTGTCTTCTGGTAAAAAAAAAACTTTTGTACTTCCCATACTTTATCTGTTTAAGAGAGAAGCATTTAATTAAACAAGTTTAAGGAAATTTACTTTGGAGAGATTTGTTTAAGGTGTTAATCTCTATGAACACAAGTTCAGACAATCCAAGTTAAAATGTCACATTTGCTTCAATAAACAAGAGCTTTGATATCCCAAACATAGCTAAATATAACTCTTCTTTATTTTAAACATGACAAACTATACATTTCTTAATTATTTTTGCTCATCTATTTTGTGATTCAAATGTGAGATATATATTTATTTTTTCTTCATTTTTTGGGGGGTGTTCTCTTTGCGTAACCCCTTTCACTGTATCAGAAAACCATATATTAAGACCTTCGCTTTACTTCACTCTACCTGAGAAAGTTTATATAAATTTGTCTCACAATGAGAACAGACGTTACTTGACCACAGATTTCATCAGGTGACCCGGCATATTTATAGGATTTCTATTTGAATCTCTTTCTGATTTCCTCCATCTTTACAAAGAAAAACACTCCAGAGCATGACATTGCCATTACTGTGTTTTTCTGTTATCTGCTTTTGTAGTTAAGCAGTGTTGGCTTTTTTTAAATTAAATGTTAACTATGAGTAGGATCGTTCATCATGCCACAAAAGCTTTAGTCTGACAGCTCCCTCCGTGTTGCTGCCAATTTGTCTGAAGACTGAACAAAAACAGACCTGTTTTTGTCTGGCTTTTCGACCTAATTGTTAGGAGTTAAATTAGATATTTAATTATCCTTTCTGAACTCTCTGCAAACTATGTTTAAGGATGCCGTCCATCCATTTTCTGTCACGCTTATGCCTTATTGACAAACAGGACAAACAACCATTCGCGTACACCCTCACTCCTAAGGAAAATTTAGAGAAACCAATGAACAGTAATGTTTTTGAACTGTGGAAGGAAGCCGGAGTACCCGGAGTGAACGCACGCATGCGCAGGGAGAACATAGAAACTCCATGTAGAAAGCGGGCCGCTGCTCTAGCCACTGCTGCACTGTGGAGCCCATTTGTTTAGGGATGCAAACAAGCAAATGCCTGGAAACCTTTATTAAAGTTAGGTTCAATATATATAATTTTAGTTTTTGGCAGGTTTAAGCTCAATAAAACTAAAGCTTATAACTGAATGAAAGGTACAAGTGCAGTTTTGTTTGCTTTTGATGAATAATTATAAAAATACTGAAAAGCATGTACTTGATGCTCAAATTTAATTTGGTTGTGGCTTTAAGTTGAGGGAAGAAATCCCAATATTTTAAAGGAAACATGGATATAAATGCATTAAGTAGCTAATTAATGATGTCCTACATCAAACTGGATAAAATATCTGTTTTTTTAAGGTCATATTGTACCGTCTTTTCAGTTTCAGCTGGAAAAATCCGATGCTCTTTAGTCATTCTGAACATAGTACACTAAAGAGGCAATTTGGGAGAATTCCTTTGAAAAGTTTTCCCAGGGTTACAGGATCAAAAGTGTGGGTGAAACAACGTGACTGACTTTTAATGGTTGCTCACCCCAGTGAACATCAGAGGGAAGTGGGGCACCCTGCTGAGTCCTGACTGTCAGATTTACACATTGATTAAAAACAGTGTTTGTAATGCTCCGATGGCAGCCTGGTTATCTGCTCCGGTCTGGTTCTGCAGTCTCCTCGCGGTCATTGAAAGGTTGGAGGATGTTTGGCAGTCTGACAGTAATAACCCCTTGCTGTTTTGTGTTCCGTCATGTAGACTGAATCTATCCTGGATTAGACCAACATAAAAATGTTGGGTATACGTTTTAAAAATGTTTTATGAAAGGGGCAGTTAGACATTTGTAAAGAGAGGAAATTTTGGTTTGGGAGGAATGATTGGTTCAGACACTTTGATGGATATCTTAAAGGTACAGGCATGTTTACATTAGATGGGACATCCATGGTGAAAATCATCAATGAACTTCTGAGGAGCTGGTTTTCTTGCTCTCATTATATAGTTTTATCTTATATTTGGCAACTCCAATTGAAACTACCTAGTTTTAAATCAAGTTTAATTTCAAACTATAGTTCCTCTTTTGCTCACACAGTATCACAGCTTAAAATAATGCAAGGTGTTTTATATTTGCTGAAGTTTGTTGTTTTTGAACTTTGGTAAAGACATGTACCTAAACTCAGCACATAAAAGCTTGCACTGCAGAGGTCTGTCTTGGTGTCTGACGATCAAAGAACTACTACTACTGTTGTGAAATAAAATGGTTTTCTGCTATATATAATTTTTCCTGAAAAACTGCATGAAAAGTCTTTAAGCTTGGGAATAACACATGTTTATTCACCAAGGTATCTATCTTAGTGCTGGTGTGCATCTTGTTATCTCCAGATGAAGCCCTGCAGAGACAGGAGGAGATCTGGCAGCAGGAGGTGGAGGAGTCTTTGTCTCGTTGTAGGTCTCTTTTTCATCCATCAAGACCGAAACATGTTGATTTCCTGCATATCACTGCTCCTGATGATGAGGTCACTGAATTTCCCTTAGCCGAACCTCTCCACCAGCTAACGGTAAGTGAAATAAAACCCTGCATGTTTTTTACCTATGGAAATCAGAGCTCTTCTTAAAAAAAATAATATTCTCACAATTGAGGCAGGGATGGGGACATTTGTAATGTTTTTGAGGAATAAAACATTTCTACATGTGGAAATTATAAAACCTGAAGTACATGTATTCAATGAAAAGAGTGAAGGGAAATCTAATCACCTAAAGAAAATGTGTGCAAAATCAAGCACATAACAGAAATACGACTATCCACTTTGGTTAGAAAACAACATTAGTGCAACTAATCTGATTTGGGAACATATTCTAAAAACAGTGTATTGCAAATGGTTGAATGTAAAATACTTTACTGTATCTTAGTAGAATTTCTTAATTAAAGTCAACAAAATAGATTTTATTTAAAATTGTTCATCCTACACCTATTTTTGAATAAAGATATCTCAGCTTTTCTGGTATGCTTGAATTTTTGCTTAACATTTACCAAGCAGAGCATGCAAAATATGTATATAGAGACACCATCCGACCCAGCAGATCTGGGCCTCACACAGAAGAAGTAAAATGTATCCTGGCTGGTGGTTTCTATCCTGAAAAGATTAATGCACATTAAAACAGGAGCTGAATATGTCAAATAGTCCTTTTGCTAATGGATCTTGTTTTCTCATAGTAGTGAAGAAAACACTTGAAATGTCTTTATATTCTCTAACATTGTGGTATTTTCACCCAAGAGATGAAGGTATTTACTGTGTGTCTTTAGTTGCTCTCATGGGTTGCCGACTGCGTGCTAAATCGTAACTTCCCTGCTTTCACTCTGCCCCCAATAACTAAGCAGAGATTCCTAAGTGTGCCACAGCCCTGTTGCACAATAGGAATGGAAGTTCTTTAGAGGGAAATAATACTTGTTAAATTCAGAGTGATTATTTTGGAATCAAAACATGTTACATTATGAATGCAGTCTAGTCATTAGTTTTTGTTGACATTTTTTGGGGAAACTAGCAGCATTACTGTTTTCCCTATTTCATGTCTTTCTTCAAAATCACCACTAGCTTTGCAGCAGGCAGCTGTTATTCCACACAAATAGTCCAGATCTTTGAAAATACGCTGGTAAATTGATGAAATATATAAAGTTCTAGTCCCAATGACATCTAAAACCCTTACCTCACCTAGCAATGTTCACATACACCATTTCACAGCTTGGCACATGTAGCAAAGGGTGAGATGAAATCACACACACAACTTTCTGGCTTCAAGAAAAATAACATTAATGTGGAAAAACTGCATCCTAACAGATGCTTGGTAGAGATGCACGTCTTCAATGTTTGCAGTTTGGGGTTTAGACACCAACAAAAACTGTGACCTGCATATAGCCAAAGGATTTAAACGCAGGACAGTGGAGCCAAGGAGTAAGGCCTCTGAGAATGGGCTTTGTATTTTACCCTCACGCCACCAGGGCATCCATAGCTACATTTTTTATTTTGAAAACACATCTCTGCCTCAGAAAGTTATCTTTGCACAGGAACGTACGTAACAAAAAGGAAATTGCATTCTTTCGCCTCCCATACAAATATTTTTATGATGTATAGTTTCAGTTACCAGAGCAGTCAAGGTGCAAGATCAAAATGCTCTAACCAAGGGGTCATAATTAACATCTATAGGTTTCTGCACCAAATTAGAAAGCAGATCATGTAGAAAATTACAGAATCTCTGTTAAAAATGCTTCATTTTATGCACAATTACTTTAAAACAACACCTCGGTGGAAATTAGTCCCATAGAGGATATTTATAATTCTACACAGCACTCTGTTTTGAGTCATCTAAAGTTTTTTCCATTGATTTTTTTTTTTACCTGTTCAGTTAACTTAATCTGATGATTTGCATGGAAGGACTGTATTCTAAGATATACATCTAATATAAACCTGCATCTTTTCATCATAAGTATTGCAGAAATTCTAATTAAACACTAAATTGATGTTTTTTTCTTATGCAGAATACTATACAAGATAATCTGGATGCAGTATTGATACTGTTTTTCCTTTCCTGAAAAAAAAAAGACAGTACTGAATAAATAAATAAATAAATGAATGTATAAATTGTCATACAGTAAAGCTCAAAGTTTAGATCCCTAAAAGAATGTAAATATAAATCCCCCCCTAAGTGCTAATCTAAAGTGCAGCTCATTAAAGCCTCACAGCAACATGTACATGCAGAATAATGTAAATATTGTAATGAAATCTACTAACTGTTATCATTTATGCAGTCTGGCACTAACCTGCTGGCTGTAATAACAAGAAGGCAAACAAGGGTGGAACCTGAATGTGGAAAAAAAAAAAAAACTCAAACAAAAGTTAGATAACAAAATTGATGTTTATATTCTGACAATGATATCCTGAATTTACAATATTAAAACAGTTTGCTACCATTTGTTTCAGCTGGAAAGACTATTTGAATGCTAGATATCTGTACTCTGAGGAAGTTGTGCATCCTTTCACTGCCCATACAGAGCTTTGATACCATAAGGGAAAACATGTCATTTTATTTTTAGTAAGATTACAAATGTTTTCCTGTGTGATTATTCCCCCTGTTGTTCTTGCAAAGTTTGTGGATTTTTTTTAAATCTTGAGTATATTCATGATTATATAAAACATTTTTTTCATGCATATTTTAAAATTAATATGTATTACATTTTTAATTTAATGGTTTTGATTTTTTATAAATATCTAACATATTATTTTACTTTTGTGTTATCTTGAATCACACTGGCTGCAGTACTGTAAGAGTGTAATAAAATATTTTTTTCAGTAAATGATTATGTTTATATAATGTATTTA